CCCAAGATGATTTTATTTGCCTCATTAAGTTTTCCACAATATCTCAAACTCAATCGTGATCATTCACATGGTGACCTCCAATAATTTAGCGAGTTCAAAAATTCAAGTCAGTTCATGGACAACATGGGAAAAAACAATGCTAAATGCAAATAATAATATGCAACTGAACATATAATTGTGGAAAATTATCATAACACCATTTTATGATAGCAAAATCAATAGGTTTATGAACTTCTATATTTGGAAGAAACAAAACTCAGAGAGATGCCAACATGCACATCCTCAAAAAACATGAACAAAAGTACAAAGTAAAAGAAAATGTACCAGCCAAACTACAAAAAGGTTTATTTGCAACAATATTTGTAAATTATTGGTTACCAAAGGGCACAAATCCATCAAAACTGATTTGACATTTAAAGATTAAAAATGACTCAAACTAAAAATGCTTTATGCATTTAAAAATGGCATTGGTTAATAGCGTAGCAAGAGCTTATGAATTCAGTTTAAATGGTAAATTTCTTTATGAAATAAATTAATTTATTTTTAAAGACCACATCATGTCAATTGAAGATCTTAAAATACAAACATGCATTGATAGAATAATGTTTAGAATATTATCTTTTATTTTATAAAATAACTGTACAAGTTGCTTTCATAATGTAAAGGTTAATTGAAAAAAGTCATTTTTAATCCAAATGATACCCATGACCCATAATTTGGGTTGTATTCTTCAACCCATTGTTTAGTCAGTTTAACCCAACAATTTCTACCCAACTTTGGGTAGAAAACACAACCCAACATGTTGGGTTAAATCAATTACCCAACTGGGTTGGGTTAAAATAACCCAGCACTGGGTGAGACCATTTTTGACCCAGCAGCTGGGTTATAAAAATAACCCAACTTGGGTTGTTTTCAACCCAGCAGTTTTTAGAGTGTATGCAGTTCATAGTAATATTACAATCTTTTAATGTTTGATTTTCAAAAAAATATTTATTTAATTTTGCTTATTAAACAATTCAATTTGTGACAATTTAGCATTTTAAAATCCAATCCCAGACAGCAATATTGTGTCGGCCCAGATCTGGCCCACATCTGGGCCGTGTGGAAACCATTAAGTGGACCTGATCTGAGCCGACACTGTTGCTTTCTGGGATGTGAGTCCTGAAGCTAATCTTGTTTTCTCCCACCTAGTACTCCAGACTGAACAAGATGCAATGTTAAAACAAACAAGCCACTGAAATATATATATATATATATATATATATATATATATATATATATATATATAAAAATACAAAAATCATAATTTTCCAAGTTTCTTGATGCAGAGTTATAGGAGGCATGGTCTGCATTTGTAAGTGAAAGCTGTGTGTTTAAAAACATGGAGATCTGCTTCACTATCCATGTGATCCATCACAGTTGTTAATCAAAAGCAAACAATGTCTGACTGGAATCTTTTGATCTTCAGATGAGCCACTATATATAGACAGCAATCTCTTGAGTAAACTCAGACCGCAGAGCTGGACCTGACAGTAATGGAGCCCATACGACTCCAAAACCCCCGCTGCGGGTTCAGAAGTTTGGGCTTTATATAGTGCATAAACAAAGCCTATTTCTGGAATTTCAACCTCTTGAGAATATTGTGTTCTGTGGGTTGTTATCATACTCTGTACAGTTCCATGTGCCCAACACAAACGCTTTAAAATCCTAGACAAAATATTAAGCTCCATTTTTAAAGAAGTAGCTCAATTTTTAAAAAAAAAAACATTTGCTGATAATTTACTCACCCCCATGTCATCCAAGATGTCCATGTCTTTCTTTCTTCAGTCGAAAAGAAATTAAGGTTTTTGACGAAAACATTCCAGGATTTTCTCCATATAATGGACTTCAATGGGAACCAAACGGTTCAAGGTCCAAAAGACAGTTTCAGTGCAAACTGTTCAAAGGGCTTTAAATGATTCTCGACAATGAATAAAGGTCTTATCAAGCGAAACGACGCTCATTTAATAAAAAAACAACAAAGTTTAAGTTTTATAAGCTCAAATGGTCGCCGTGCTGTGTTCTGTGACGCGAGAGTCACGTGTTCGTGACTCTCCTGTTCAAACTCGTTCATCAAAATGAACAAATCTTTTTTCGAGTCATTTGGTTCATTTCGTTCATTGAATGAACCAAATGACTAATCAAAAACCTTAATTTCTTTTCAACTGAAGAAAGAAAGACATGGAAATCTTGGATGACATGGGGGTGAGGAAATCACCAGCAAAAGTTTTTTTAAAAGTGAACTATACTCCTTTAAGGCCAATTTGGCATGTAATAGGAATCTGATCATTTGGAAAAAATTACCCAAAAAATTGGCAATTGGAATCGGCCGTGAAAAATCATGATCGGAGCTTCACTATTGACATAACACGACTAACTCTCATGTTATTTTATTTTTGCCATTATCTGAATAATCAAGTTATACAGTAATACAGTAAAGTTGAAGTGCCTGAGCTTGCAACTTATATTCGTAAGCTAGAGCATTACAGAAATAACCCTGGTATTATTTTTATCTATTCTGTATATATGTGAGATGCAATGCAGTCCCACCTGTCCGTTCTGACTTCATGCCCTCCGGCAAGATCAAATCCAGTGAGAGCAATCGGGAAGCGTTTCCGTCTGCCCATCGCTCTTCCTGCTCTCTTATTCATGAGGCGAGAGTCGTACAGGAATACTAAAGTGTGGAGCTACAGGCGGACGAGGAAATGATGCTCAAATGAAACCTGCTCAGAATTTCAAAAACTCTCTTTCTCGCTCTCATTAAGCATCTTCTGCTAATGCTCTGCTTCCTGAAGCTCGGCGGTATAAAGTGGATTGGAACTGATTCACTTGAACCAAATGACTCCAACAGGCACAATATCATTTCAGTTCCTCTTCAGGATTAAAACCCACAACCTTGCAGTTGTGGCCTAATGGTTAGAGAGTTTGACTTGTAACCCTAAAGGTCGAGGGTTTCGATTCTCAGTAGTGTTCACTACTCACTGCTCATAATGTGTGTGATGGGTTAAATGCGGAGGACAAATTGTGAGTATGGGTTCCCATACTTGGCCTTCATGTCACTTCACTTCTTCTTCACTTAACAGCCGTGACCTTTAACCACTAGGCCACACCAGCTTTGTGTCTGCTGTGGGAAAATAAATGTAATGAAGTCCTGACTCTCTCAGGGGACTAATAAACATGACGTACTGTACACACACAGCACTGGACAGGTGCTTTGTTCAGTGAAGCTGAAGGCCTGCAGTGATGCATTTCACTTCCAGGCAAAACAATTTGTATAAAATGTTAAAACAGTATAAAATATGCTGTGTTGCTGTACTCATCGACAATAAAGGGCATTGTCATGTATAACGTAACCTGTGGTTGAGTCGAGTATGTTACAAAGGTTTAGAGGAAATTAAAATGTGATATTCCTCATACTATAAAAGTTCATGTTTTGCTCAGTTTCTCTCAATTATTTCTACTGAATTTTGTTTGTTAATGTACCAAATGCAGTTACTCAGATCTACTTAGTGTAATTTTTTTTACATATGGTATATGTAATTAATTTCATTACGTTAAAATGTATATTATATATTAAAATCAAGTGTAAAAAATGTTTCACCCCAAAAATTTAGTAAATCAGCCAGACCGATATTATCGGCCGATATTAGGCATTTTCCATAATATCGGTATCGGCAGTCATAATGGCAGATAAATGAATATTTAAAAAATAAAATAAAAACGGACGAAAAACGCTTTAATCATCTCTCCTTGGCCTGTTATATTGAAAATGTATGTTTTACAATTTGCAGTATGATGTTATCTATTGCTAAATTATGGCTCATCATAGACTAGCTAACCACAAAGCTAGCTAATGCCACTATCATCAGTGGAAGACCGCTAATGAGCATGGAAACCACAATGAACTTTTTCTGCCTAATAAAGTAATGATTACTGTATTTATAACTAGCATATCTCTAGTTACAGTCCCTGCATTGTAAAATGTAAGTTATACTTGCGAGGAGTGAACATTTAGACGTAGAGAAAAAGTATCAAACGTATCTTGTGCAGAAAAGTTAGCTTTTCTTTTACACGTGTGTGAAATCCAACAATATTTAATTAAAAAAATAAATAAAATATCGGCCGATATATCGGATTTTAAAACCCAAAAATATTTGTATCGGTATCGGCCTTCAAAATCCTTTATCGGTCAGGCTCTAGTAGAAGTTTTTATAGTGTAAGTAACAAGATCCGTCAGCCTCAAATTGTGGAGGGACATGAAGAACAAAATTGATGCACCTCTTGATGAAAATGAATGTTGTGATGTTATTTCTGTTAGGAACTGCTCCGAGACATGAAGGTTGAGATCCAAATGCAGTAATACAGCAAAATGCAGCAGTAATAGACTTGGCTGCTTTGAATATTTCAGGAGCCAAGGCCACAGAAATCACCTCGATTAGTCATCTTTCGTCTGGGACAGCCCAAAAGCGTACAATGTGTCCCCGAGCAATAAAGTTGGCAGATTTCTCTAGCACACCAGTATATGCCGCTTTGTTATCAGATTTCGTCTGTGAAATAATATCTAATTTCTTTGCTGTTGTCTGGAGAACGGACCGCTGTGACAGAAATTAAATGAACTGTCAATTTGTGGCAGAATAAAACGTCAATGTGCCAGAGTTTATGCAAAATAATCAAACGTGTGGCTTGCGAGACAACGACTGATTTATAGACTAAAGCTGCGGCTCTCAATGATTTTGTGACAGAAGTTACCAAGCATGTGATTACAAGAAAAAAAAACCTTCAGGGTTTAGCAAACAACATTTGGGTCCCCATTAGTGTCGGCCATGGAGCAAATAAGCAACAAATACACACGGACCAGAGACTGAGATCTGCAGAACAACAGCTGAAAGGACCCGAGGCGAGAAGAGCCGTAACACGAGTCTCCAGCTCTGATTGATAAGGAGAGAAACCTCTTCACTCACCGTCTGCTGGTGGCCGTCACTCACACCGTAGACGCTGAGTTTGATGCGTGTCTCACTGCAGACGGGACAATTGGGTGGGAAACTCCCTCTCGTGAGGAACACGGGATCTCTTGTTCCCTGCAAAGAGGAAGAAGAGCGGGAGGTGAATGCGTGAGGATGAGAAATGAACCAACAGCGAACCTGCAGCACGCATGATCACTCATTCAGTGACAGATGGGAGAACGAGGCCAATCAGAGGAGTGATGTGGGTGCAAAACATTTACTGTGTAGAAATATAGCCTCCTAAAGGAAATAATACAATTAAATTAAATAAAAAAATAAAGATATTTTATTTAATATTCTGTATAATATAAATGTCCCCTAACATATAAAATTGCAAACATATTATAAAAGTGACTATACACAATTTAAATAAAAATCATAAAATCAGTAATACTGTGAAATTTTTGTACACTTTAAAATAACAGTTTTCTATTGTAATATATTTTAAAATGTAATTTATTCCTGTGATCAAAGCTGAATTTTCAGCATCATTACGCCAGTCTTTAGTGTCACATGATCATTCAGAAATCACTCTAATATGCTGATTTGATGCTGAAGAAATTAGTATTGTGTATTATTGTAACACTTATTATTATCAATGTTGAAAACAGTTGAGCTGCTTCATATTTCTGTGGAAACCATGCAAGTACCCTTAATATTTTTGGATTTGGGCCCTTCAAAAGGGAATCATCATTTCTGTGCGTCTTTGGCATCAAAAAGTTCAAAAACTGCTGTGCTAGACTACAACATTTTCCAATAGACTTGATTGTCTGAACAACTAGTCAACTAATCTGTCTTACAACCTTTATGAAAGGGATGCAAAACGGTCTAATAGTTGAAGCACAACATGTCAATTAAAGCGCATATTGAGATCAGGGGAGTGAGGTTTACTTGCACAGCAACTACAAGCTGGCCTCCGTTTCACTCACCCCCTAAACCTCACTCTCATCCGGGTCACGGCACCAACGTAACCCCTCCACCCGGATCTGACTCGACCCACTCCGAGCGGGCCTCGAACCCCGGTCGCTCTAACAAGGAGGCTAAACTGCAGACTCTAGCATCTGTCGCTAGAGCACCTATTGAGATCAGGGGAGTGAGGTTTACTTGCACAGCAACCACTAGCTGGCCTCCGTTACACGTGATGTGAATCAGCTTTTAGAAAAAAAAAGGGTTCACTAGGGTTCTATTTCATAAAATGATCCAGGATGGACCCCTAAAAAGGCACTATATGAAGTATGAAGCCCCACGACAGAAAAGTAGTCCAAAGTAGTTGATCACCAAAATAACATTCCTTCATGCCTAAAAATATCCTGAATGTAACTGAATGAAACACCCTTGCCTCACTGAGTATAGTGTTTCTATGAATATGCAAATGAGCCCCGCCTCCACTCACTCTCTCAGCTCAGAGATCCACTCGTTGACGATCACACGTTGATCTGATTGGTTACAAGGTAGTGCGTCAGAAACACACAGTGTTTTTGAGTCTTTGGTTCACTGCAGTTTTAAGCAGAAAATACTCAGCAATGCTGTCGACTTATGAATTTGCACATGGTTTGTATTGAAGCGTATTAAAAACACCACATAGACATTTAAACAACATTAAAAGCTGGATTTTCACCACAGGGGGACTTTAAAATTCGATTTGGAATCTTTCCATTTAATAGAGCGGGAGTTCATTTCACGGGGCACTTCAGACCTCATGTTGAGATGAAACCCGCACCACATCAAGAGACATCTGTTTATTCCACCAGCAAGAAGCCAGTCGTCTTCCCACAGCCGATCCCTCGTGCACTTATCACAGTTCACTGATCTCAGAGCAGGAAACTCCCAGTGTACACATGTCGTTCTGGGGCGTCTCTGGACAGTGGTCCCCTGAGCCGGCGGGTGGGACAGATAGCAAGGGGCGATTGTAAACTCAATCAGAAACTCAAACAGCTCTCTTTTTAAGGGGTAAAAAGCAGCCCGGCTATTACCCAGTCAGCGCTGGATCGATGAGGCCACAGTCTATCTGTTTCACATCTGCTTATTGGCTGAGCAGACGCCGCTATCTGAAACACAGATCACATCGAGTCTAAGAGCCTCCGGTTCTGCAAATTAACTGAGGAAATGTATCGAGTTAACGGGACAACTCACCTATTAATGAATATCCTGTCATCATTTACTCAAACTCAAGCCTCGTTCCAACACTGCCCAATGAGAAAGACTCCAAAAGCTCCAAAAAGGCCATCAGATTATTGTCTATGATAACTCGTTCACTATTTTTCAAATGTTCTGAAGCCACACAGTAGGTTTCTGTGGAGAACAGGCCACGTTTCAGATTATTCACTCAAAATCTTCCCCTCTGCTGCAGATTTTAAATGTATTTTCCATTCTGCATGTCTGATAATGGTGCGCCAATGAGGGCAAAAGTTGTGCGACACTTTTTAAACACAAATATGAGACATAATTGACCCTTCACTAAGCCACGCCCGAAAACCGCCACTGGCTAATCATGTCTTAGCAACCGTAACTATGCGCGGGAGGTCTGGCAAGCTTTCGAACGAGGGAAACATGCTGAAGCATTGTGTGTATGGATTATGCAAATCTGATACCGGTATAATAAAAGTTTGGACGGGGGAGAGGAATTGTTTTCCTTCCAGAAAATCTGAGGGGAGAAATGATTGGCGTGATCTAGCATCTATGTGCGAGACCCATTCACAACTACTGGTAAATGTCGACATGCTTAACAAAAACACCTATTGCTTGGAAATATTGACGGTTCTTTGGTCATAATGATAACGTAAAATAAGACTATTAAAGAGACAAGACAAAGGCTCACTGACATACTTTAAAATATATTTCAGCATTTTGTTAATCGACGTCCTACTAACGTTACCCCTTACTAAGTAACTTAACCCAATCCGATCGCGGCTCTCCCGGTATTAGTGTTATTCCACAAGATTTATTGATAAGCTGTTTGATTTATAATTATTAAGATTATTTTCACATACCCTGCTGTGTATGAACATAGCTATTCCTCAATTTGTGTTCCCATTTGCGTATGCGTATGAGGCGCTGCTGCTTGCGCTGGGACTATAACGTTAGGCTTTAACTTCAATTTTTAAGAAATTATTCTCTAATCGGTTGCATATAATGTCGTGAATATATCCCTCAAATGCATACTGTGGTCCCTTTTGTCTTTCTCTCTCAGATATTTAATTTGTTCGCCAACAAATGACTAATTATCTCATTGGGAATGTCTGATACCGGGTGCATCCACACTATAATAGATGGGCCAGCCGCGAAAGCTTAACAGGCGTAGCAACAGTAACAAGGGAGGGCGGGGCTTAGCGAAGGGTCAATTGAAATCTTCGGCATAGAGGATGAAAAAAATTAAATCATTTTAAAGATGTTTCTCAGAAAAGCTACTATACAGCTTCAGAAGACATGGAATTTAATGGAAGCGCGTTTATGCCATATTAAAAAAGGTAATTTTGACATAAAAATTGGAAATTACTAAGATACTAAGTCATAATTATGAGATAAAAGTATCCAATAACTTCAAATTTGTCATAGTTGTGACAAATAGCATTATAATTGTGTCTTTTTGTAATGAAACCAAATTCAACTTCTTTTTTGAGCTTTCTATACAATTTTGATCATTTTTTTGAAATGATGAAAATGCAACTTGAAATTACAAGATAAAAAGTCGTATGGCAATGTCTTAAAGGAGTAGTTCACTTTTCAAAAAACGTTCACGCCCAAGTCATCCAAGATGTCCATGTCATTCTTTCTTCAGTCGAAAAGAAATTAAGGTTTTTGGTGAAAACATTCCAGGATTTTCTCCTGGAAAAAGTTATACTTACACCATATGAATGTCAACTATGTCATTATTATGACGTGATAATTCCGATGTAATGTCTTTTTATCTCATATGTTTTATGACATTTCTTCACAATTTTGACTGTCATAATTGTTATGACATAACTTGAAATGATGAGATTTTTTTTTAATCTTTTACAGTATTGTTTAAAGATGCTTCAAACTTCCCATTTTGTTCCAAGAAAGAAAGAAAGAGTTTTGGATGAAATGTCAAGCTAGACAAGAAGACAAGTCTCTCTCTCTCTCACACACACACACACACAGACACACACCTCCTCAAGGGGGCTTAAGAGTCTTTTAAAGGTTTGAATCATTCATCAGTTCAACAGGGTGAGATTGATCATTTGCTTAATTAAAAGAATCAGCAGGATGTAAAGACTAAAAGGTTTTTGCATTTTGTCTGATAAACGACACAAGAGGACCATATTTTAAAAAGGTTCGGGTCACCAAGCCATGCTAACTCATTAAAAAGTACTGCAACATCACACTTACCTCACCTTCCATGCCTAAGAGTTCAGGTCGAGTCGAGGTGACGCGAGTAACCAGACCCAATACAAACCCACACAACCACAAGGTCAATATCAGAACGGTAATAAATCAGCGTAGAGACGCGGGGGAGCTCTGAAAACTCACTGCTGCAGTGTGGGTAATGGTCAGTCCTCAGGACTAATGGCCCCGCTACAAAAAGCAGCATTTATTTAGAGTGTGTGGTGAACGCGGGGCGGAGGGAGTCATTTAGACGTGTCCCAAAGTGGCCAATTTGTTCCGTAATGCGCCATCATGCTGGGCAGACTCATAATTTTACACTAACCGGATGTTCGATGGGAATGCCTTGCAAAACCGGACAGGATAAATAGCTGGTGGCTTCGAGTTTGGCTAGAAATAAATGTGCCCACAGATGGACATGCTTCAACAACACAAAGCCGGCAATGATGTTTTATGAAGAGGCAGGAGCGTGACGTCGAACCTCTTCAGCACAGATACACATTTATAGAGTGGGATTTTCCAGGAGATTAAGAGGTTGAATCCGTCTGAATTCTTCTTCTGCACGCACACACACACACACACACACATTCTTTCCAAATATATTTAGGGATTGAATTCAATATTCTGATACTTAAATTGTTAACATGGTATTCTTAGTATGCAGTAAAATTCTATGTAGCAATAGCGGACCACTAAAAAGTCTGCAGTAACTAAGATTTTTTTTACTTTTTTCATAGAGGATGCATCATTTTTAAGAAATTAAATTGAGTTTAAAAAAAGTTAAGACATTTATAATGTTACAAAACGTGGTGCGCGGGTGGTGGGAAGATATATCACGGTTTCCAAAATATTAAATGTTTCCAAAAATGATTAAAAAAAACAGCTTTTTAAATTGTATTATTTCACAATATTACTGGTTTTTTTCCTGTATTTTTTGATCAAATAAATGCAGGCTTGATGAGCATGAGAGAATTTTCCAAAACATAAAAAAATCTCACTGAACCCAGATTTCTGAATGCTAGTGTATTTGTTTTATTATTGGAAGACTGAAAATATCATACTAGCTTTATTTCTGGGTTTCAGTAATTGTAATTTTTGTTGGTTTTTAAACTTATATGAATATACATGACGCTATATATATATATATATATATATATGAATAAATATATATATATATATATATATATATATATATATATATATATCCAGATGTTTCTTCATTGCTAATAAGGATAATTTCAAACAAAACATCAAAACATATTTTATTACTTCTAAATAAGCTTCTAATAAATCTAATATAAACAAATACGCATCAAAATGAAAAAAAATCAGTACAATAGTGTGAAATTTTCAGAAGATAAAAAAAAAAAAATCAAAATGAACAAAAACGGTCAAACCCACAAATTTTAGATGACTACTTTTATTTTCATTATCAAATCTACATTAATGTTACGAAGATGTAATAATAAATAATCTGAAGAAATAATGTTATAAATATCCCTTGTGAAACTCGTTTGAAATACAGGATTATTATTAGATTAACGATATTTGAATAATCCAGTAAAAACATTAAACTACTTAAATTGCACGAGATCCCATGAAGTCGGTGAGTCAACATGGCGCTTTAAAACACACCAATCACAGTCCTCACTAAAAAAAAAATCACTTTCACTACTATTACAGTCCGTTAAAATCACATTGAATATGTTACTCGGGGTGTGTGGGAAACAGTTTCAGGGACTCCTCGAGATTACACAGCAGACTTTGAGACCAGAGGCTCAGTCCCACAGCAAGACCTCCACTGGGAAATATGGGAATTTGCCAGGGCAAACGGCTGCCTAAAACTGCCAACTAACATGTTCGCACATCCGCGTATACTCGCGCTGTACTCGAGATTAGATGTGCATTAAGTGGAGAGGCCGGGGAACAGCTGTGGTCTCATCTCAGTCTACACCACCTGTCTGTATTAAACAACAAAAGTGGGCCAGCTATTTCAGACAACTGCCATTCAGAGGAATCCACAACACACACACACACACACACACACAACGCGGTGACGTTTCTCCCATTAGGGGAACCTCAGTGGTTTCCCCCACTGTTTCAGATGAGCACACGCGATCATGAACTGCTAACGCGTGCAAGGTTAACTTCAATTCGTTTGTATGTAAAGCACATTATATCGCATGCCGTTAACAGCATAACAAGGTGTCACAGCAAGTCGGACTTACACGAATAGATCAGCCAGTCATTTATTCACATATGATTGATTCACTCAAAGGAGACCAAATTGTAACTAAGCTTTACTGTATGTGAACAAACCGATGATGGCTTGAGAAAGCATGAACCTTGAACTCGGTTGGCCTTGTGTACAGCTGTGAAAAATGTACTATTTTACCTCTTTAGTGCTATTTCTCAAGTCAGCACAATGATGTCAATGGCGTTTTGGTCTCAAGTCGCAAATTAGAGGACTTTGATTATAGTCAAAGTCCTTTTAGTCAAGTCCTGCCATCTTGGCAACGCCTCCAGGCAGACTAACAAGACCAGGCTCCTATCTAAATGAATGGGCAGAGAGTCAGAACTGCACTTTCACTGGTCACCGGGACATAAAAACTGCTTGTGTAGAAACAGCAGTAAATCATGATACAAATCGCTGAAAAAGTTTGATGACTTTGCCCCAAAATACGGTTTAAAACGCCCTTTTCCCCACAGGTTATACTTTTACTACGCATGCGCAAGGCTTCTCGTCTCCGCTGTTGAAAACATCAAATGTGCAACATGACATCATGACTTTTGCGTAAACATACATGCCACTTTCAAGTCAAGTGGCGTGTTTTGAGCTATCCGCGTGTGCGTCTACGTCCGAGTGATTCTCCGTGTATGTACACGTTAAATGTCCGAGCGAAACGAAGCAAAATGTAGGGAGCGATATTTTTTTTTCCTTGAATGGTAGGGGAAGACTCATTAACCCCAGTGACGGTTAGGTTTAGGGACGGGGTTGAGGTAAGTCATATATTTATATATACAGTCAACGGCGTTCATACACACCCTGAAAAGCGTTTATGCGTGTTGATAGCACGCCAAAAATGGAAATACGGATTGGCGTGTCATACACACGCAATTTCATGAGATCAGTCTGAAATGTGCACATGCTTGACAGTTAAAAGCAAACGATTGGCTTTCCAGCGGGAGGGGCGGGGCATGTGCATACAACCGCCATCTTTGTCGTTACGGGTTTTGCCCATATAGTTGTATTGAGGATAAGTCTCTATATAAAGTGCCTCTGATATTGTGCTACTTTTATAGTTCTTTATTGGTGGTTTTTGACCTTCTGGGAGCTTTTCTGGTAACACTTCGTTTTGATGGTCCATTTTGAACATCCTGTTGACTATAAGTAACTTTGCAACTACACGTCAACTTAATCTATCCCTAACCCTACCAGTCCAACCCGATCTCACGGGAATTCGTACGAATTTTACGAATTCGTAACAATTCATACGACCTCACTCGTACAAATTAGTACGATTTCGCTAAATCATACATATTTTACGAATTGGCCAATTCATATGAATTCGTACGAATGACCTACCCCTGACCCCGCCCCTAAACCTAACCATCACGTGGGTTTAGACAAATTGTATGAATTCGTACGAGCGAGGTCGTACAAATTAGCCACTTTTTAATCACTCGTACGAATTCTTACAATTTGGTCGTGAGATAGGGTAGACCAGTCTACTAATACTCTAGTGAGAGTTAGTAGAGATGTGTTAAAGGGACCATCCAAATAAAGTGAAACTGCTTTTCTTTGCGAACTGCTGATGTGTACGTATATGCAAATGTATTTAAAAGAGCTTCATGAATATTTAATCAAACACCTTTAATTTGTTTTTACATTCACGCATTTAGCAGACGCTTTTTTCTAAAACGAACTACAATAGAGGAACGTATTCAAAACGGCTCTTTAAAAAAATCTGTTTCGTGAATAAATAAAAGATTAAAATATATAGAAAAGTTTTATAGAAAAAACATTGAAACATAGGGTAATTCATTGTATTTTTATAATTTATTTCATTAATATAGTAAAAAATATATGTATTAAAAGTTTCATATTCATTCAACTTCCGCAAATAACTTAAATGTGCACGTACCGAACACCTCAGCCTCCAACAACACGAGCTCAAGTCCATCTTTAGTCCGAAGTCTAGCGAGGTTTCACGAAGAGGTTAAAAGCGGCAATATCCAACACCGTCCAGCATCCAGTTTGCTAGATCGCTAACTCTGAAACTGACGCTAGTCATCGTCCGTTCTGTGCCGTGAGGTTTACAGAAGATATGACGCAGAACTACAAACACACAAGCATGAAAGCTAAATATTACTGCAGTCTGGGTGAGCTATAAAAGTGCAAAGCTCTTTCCACCAGCAAATCTAATTTGGAGGGAAATAGACTTCTCTTTGTGCACTCATGGGCTGAGAGTCCATGTGGAGGGAGGAAAGGGGGAAACACAGGGATCAGTGTGTCACTGGAGGGTGTGTCTGGGTGTGAGATACGGGCAGAGGGAACAACCAGCTGTTGCCCTCAATAAAGGACCCCCCCCCCCCCACACACACAAACACACAGTTAATAGTGTGTGTGTGTGTGTGTGTGTGTGTGTGTGTGTGTGTGGTAAACCCTAAAAAAGATAGCAATATCTGAAATCTTTGTCCTTGTAGGGACTTTTTTTGATCCCCACGAGGAAATTTCACAAATTATTACTCATACTAAGGCCCCATCCACACTACTGCGTTTTCGTTTAAAAACTGAGACCTTTTGCTACGTTTGCACCTCCCGCCCAGACTAAAACGGGAAAAACGAAGACCTAAAACGGAGAAGTTTAGAAACGCTGCAGCTCCGTTTTGCGTTTTGAATCTCCGGAGGGCGTTTTAGTGTGGACGAGACAAAACGGAGGAGTTTACAAACGATGACGCAGAGGCTGACGCTCGGCTCTATGATTGGGTGTTATCAGTCATGACGTGTCCTTCCCTGATTCGCCAGCCACTGTTTACACCGCCACGCGCGTGCCCAGTGTTGGTGAATGGTCACGTGATCCGCATTTTCAGTCGTTTTAATGTGGACGGAGATCAATTCTAATACGCAGATAAAACGCTGGTGTGGACGGAGATCGTATTCGTTTTAATTCTCCGTTTTTAAACGAAAACCCAGTAGTGTGGACGGGGCCTAAGTAAAGTTTTTTGAAATTGTAAACGTGCCGAACGTTTTCTGTGAGGAGTAGGTTTAGGGCTAAATGCAATCTAATCTTAGTCAAAGAAAATGTTAGTTGATGACTTTAGTTGATCATTTTTCCACATTAATGGAAACATCACATGCATCAACATTCAACTAAAAACGTGAAACTGTTGCTGTTTTACAAGAGAGTGTTGGGAGGAATACGTAGTGATGTATGTCTCGAGACCACTTTTACATGGTCTTTGTCTTTGGTCTCGTCTAGGTCACGCTGTCTCAGACCGAGATTTAGCAATACAATACTACAATATCCACGACGATATCTGCAACGGATTGAAGCGTGCACTTGATTTAAAAAACACATATCATGTACAGTTTTTGATGCATCTATATTTAGTAAAACACATATTAGTGATGGGTTTTAACTTCATTCAGGAGATTTTGGGTAACTGCACAACTGACAGATGACTTTGAGCACACCGCCAACGGTGTGTGTGTGTAACCATAGCGACAAAACGACCAACTTTCGGATCCGGCACTTTCGTTTTTTTAAAAATATAATTATGCATTTAAAAGTTGCAGAATGGATGCATTTGGAGACTTTAGTTTTTTTTTTACCCCTCTGGTCTCGAGACCCTCTGGTCTTGGTAGTGTCTTGGTCTCGGTTTAGGCAGTCTTGACTACACTGAAAAAAAATTGGAGTAGGATTTACTTGAAAAAAGCTAGACAACTTTTTTTACTCAGAAAACGCTAGTAAATTTATTAAGATTTGCAAAGTACTTGGTAGACAATACACAATGGCGGTAACATTTGATGGGTCGTTTTTGTGTTTGAATCTGTCATTTTGAGCAAAACATTTACTCGAAATGTCACAAAATGGCAAGTTACTAATACGGACAACAAAAATCAATGATAAAACAGTGTAAATACAGCTGGAAACCAGTAAAAAATGAACTTCATTAATTATTCAAGGTCCAGTGCATGATGGGAAACCCAGTATCAGAAAAATTGAGTAATTTTTACTTAATTTTATTGAGTTGATATTTACACTTTCATTTCTACTCGCTTGAATTAAGTACTTATGTGGAATTTACTTAGTTTTTTTTTATTCTTGTCTGAACTAACTTTTTCATGTAAATTACATTGTTGTTTTTTTCAGTTACTTCACCAAAAAATCATTTTTTACAGTGTAAAAGTCTAGGAATAAGCCATTCATTTTGCGAATTTTGCAACAATTGCCAAAGCAAACCAGTATTGATAACATACTGTATGGTCTCGGTCACATTTATCATACTATAATGCAGTTTCTCATCAGTTAAACAGCTGCTACTAGTGCTCACGTCGACAGAGCAAACAAACCCAAAAGTACAACGTGAAAAAGGACTGGTGAGTTTTGTTTTTTTAAACCAATCAATCAAACCAAGCATGAAGACCGCCTTAGACTCAATCTACATGACCCAAGACTGACACATTAGGGGGAAAAAAGATTATAACCCAGTATCTTCCCGGAAACAGATTCCCACTTCCTGTAGCCTGAAGCTCAGTAATTAGGCCAGCGAGAACACAAACACATTACCAGATCATCCAGATCGAGCTGCTTTTACTTCCACTACCTCCAAAATCTCAATTCTGTCATTATTTACAGGCCAAAAAGCACCATAAAAGATGCCATTCTTCAGTCTTTCAGTTGATTTTAGTTGCTATAGGTTCGTTTTGGTGCCACAGACGCATTACAACAAATGACTTGGAATATAGCACTAATTTTTAACTACTTTTATGGTCCTTTTTAGGGATTTTTTTGGACGAATATGGCCATTGTGAACCACTGAAGTATGCAAAAGAGCTTTATTTTGAAACCATAAACTACTCATTTAACTCTTTCCCTGCCATTGACGTAATTTTCCAGGCTATCCATATTCTCACAGTTACACTGTAGGGGGCACTATTACGCATCATCTGAAAGAGTACAGAATCTCTCCATACAAGAACATGTGAAGATGAAACAAGCTTTTTTTACACAGATAAGCCAATGCGATCGTCAAACATTGATTAAACAGCACATAAAACAAATGAAACGTCAACCCAGGAAGAGGAAACGACTGTGAAGCCTTGGGGGTGTTGATTTTTGAAGGCCTCGATCGACTCCATCAGTGTTTCATTCATCGTTCTGAATCCCTCCCGGTTGAAGTCTTTGACAAAAACATGATTTTCTTTTTTTTCTTTTTTTTTTTTTTGTGTGTTTTTTTTTTTTTTAAATGAAACGTACCTGCATTCAAATGTTGATAAAAAAATAAAAAAATAAATAAAAAAGCAAGAATATTTTTTCATGATCTGTTCTTTCTTTTGGTATATTTTAAGTTCGATATTCATATTTAGAAAAAAAAATTCTGGGAGCCATGACATTTTTGTGAAAAAGTCAAAAATGCTGGCGGTGGCTAGGGAAAATGTTAAAAACAAATGATAAAAATTCAAATATATATATATATATATCAAAATTATATATATATATACACATTATACATCAAAATTATATATATATATATTACATATCAAAATTATATATAAATTCTTTTAATCCATATTCATAATGCCGTGCCTTTAATTGCCCAACACAGCCACCTGCACCGATGGGTTCAGTTTCCTTCCCATGAACTCTGATACCCACCCTTTACATGCTGAGAGAAAAGAGACAAATAAACACAGAATCATACAGTCCAGAAGAGACATGGACGCTTGATACAAGAGGAAATCGAGGGCATGAGAGAGAAAGCAGATGGAGATACACATCCACTCTTTTGTGAAAGAAAACATAAAATAGGGCCCAAAAGAGGTGAGAACCCCTTTAAATGTGTAGAGCGGTTTGCTGGTATCCACAGGAAGTATCTCAGGAGGAAACAGGAAGTCTGGCTGAGCCTCCTAAAAAGTGGCGTGGAATGGCTTGAGAGAAGTTATTTCTCCCATCACGGTTGAATTTCTGTCAGCAAATGCTTCAGTGAGGCTTTCACCCTCCCGTTCCAGGCTTCCTATAGCAGGAAAAGCCGCTCCGCTCTGGAGCTATTCTTGAAGGGAGATTTCTCTTTCACTCCTTCCCTTCCTTCCTCCACAGTCTTCCTGTATAACACCGTCTCACCGAAAGCCTCTGGGATTAGGATCTGTGTAGAGTTTATTAAACTCAAGGTTCAAAAAGCATGAACCAGTTCATAATTTAAAAGAGTTGGATGTGTTCTAACAAACAAGAAAGCGAGCCGCAGTGATCCAAGGTAAAAAATGAAGCAGGTGAAAAATGCATCAAAGGAACTGACCAGGAGCGTCGAGGCTTCCTGTCAAACACTCCTGTAAGACGTTCAAAGGAGTACAAGAGCTCAGGTTATTGACCTGAAGCTACAAAATGAACGTGCTACATACTGTATGGATGGGAATCGTAAGGGATGTAATGATTTGGGTTCCTTGTCGATTCGACTGAAGATTCCTGGAACATTTGAGGAAGAAATAATACTACTAATAAAAATGAAATTTCTACAATAAAATACAATAAAAATTAAAATTCTGTCAGTATTTACTCACCCTCATGTTGTTCCAACCTCGTAAGACCTTCGTTCATTTTCGGAACACAAATTAAGATATTTTTGATGAAATCTGAGAGCTGGATCAGTCCTCCATACTAGTCCATAGGCTTCTTGAGGGATTGAAACTTGCCGGCCTCGAAAAGTTATTAAAGACATCGTTAAAATAGTCCAAGTGACTACAGTGGCTCAATCTTAACTTTATCAAGCGACGAGACACTTTTTGTGCGCAAAACAAACATAAATAACGACTTTATTTCAACTATTCACTTCCTTCTCCATGGGCCTCTAGTCAGTTAACGTAGTGTGATAGCGTAGAGCTACGTCACACGTAGGCTCACTATTGGCTGGTCATGTGTGTGATGCGTGTGACGTACAACAACAGAAGCTTACGCTATTAAACTAGTAACCTGACGCCGCCTTCACACTGGCAGTTGAAATCAGCTCCGTAATACGCAATACGTTCCCAACGGACGTCGTACTACACAGTGAAAAGCGTCGGACGCGGGTAGAACAAAAATGGCGGAGAGATTAAAGTTTGATTCTGTCAGTTCTGTATGATCTCTCTGATGAGGGTTATGCTGCGTGAGGAAAGTTGCTCAGGACGTTGACATGTCAGGTCGGCTAAAAAATGTGATATAGTGGTC